CTGCTTTACAGGAGGTGTTTCCCTGGGGGATGGGGCTGGTGACTAGATGGGGCCAAGGCTCCTTCCCTCATAAACCAGCTGCCAGCTCCTGGCCGCTCCAGTTGAGGGAACCAAGTGGGGACCAACCTTGAGACTTGCCTCCTAGGGAGAGAATGTATTCTTCTTGGTGACCAATTTCCTTGTGACACCAGCTCAAGTTCAGGGCAGATGCCCAGAGGTAAGATTGGCCAGGAGTCACTACCCATATTTCCCTTTCTGCTTCCTGGGTGGCTGAAGGCTCAGGATATGCTTATGGTATTGCAGGCATTGGGCTAAATCCTATTTTATTTATTTTTTTTGAGATAGGCTGTCACTCTGTCACCCTGGGTAGAGTGCTGTGGCATCATAGTTCACAGCAACCTCAAACTCCTGGGCTCAAGGATCCTGCCTCAGCCTCCCTTATAGCTGGACCTATAGATGTGGGCCCTTGTTCCTGGTTATTGTTTTTTTCTACTTTTATACAGATGGGGTATCACTCTTGCTCAGGCTGGTCTTGAACTCCTGAACTGAAGTGATCTCCCTGTCTTGGCCTCCCAGAGTGCTGGGATTACAGGTGTGAGCCACTGTGCCAGCCCTGGGCTAAATCTTATTATGGTCATTTCATTTAGTCTCTACATATACCCTGCCTAGTAGGAATTACCATGATCCCATTTAACATGAGAAGGCTGAAATTCAGTGAGGTGGAGTCAATTGCTCAGGGCCTCCTAGCCTGTGAGTGACAGGACTCAGACCTTTGCACTGCATCAGTGCCCACGGGGTGAGCAGGAACCTCTGTGTCCTGGTCACACCTCTGGGCATGCTCCAGGTTGTTAGTGCGATACCAAGAGCTGGACACATGCTCAGGTGGGTTCTAATAGAGCCAAGCTGGGATATCACTTCCCGTTCTCTGTGCCCAGCCCCTATTAATGGATCTTGAGGTGGCTTCCATTTTTGTGGGCCATCACACTTATGGTTTCTGAGTATTTTTCACTACAACCATAGTCACGCTAGGACACACCTCCCCCCCCCACACACTGTTTTGTTCATTTCCCACCCAGAAGTACAAATTCTGCCCTGAAATGTTACCTTTTCCACTTGCCTGGGGATATCCCCAGACATCTAACCTCTGTCACAGACCATACCCATTCTCCTCCCTGGTTTGGATTTTGTTTGAACAGTTTGGACCCAGGATATAGCCTGGAGGTCTGCCTCCACAGTACATTAATCAAATCCAACATTTAACTGCTTGCTGGCTAAAGGGTCACAGTGCACACACCTGTCCCCTGAGCCCTGGT